CTATGAGACCTGTGACCGGCACTTTGTTTCATTTGGACAACGTATGTAAGCTGTAGCGGTGGTTGCAATATATGTTATAATCTGATTGGCCAGTCTTGTTTCAAATGCAGGGCAAAGCAACAGATTCACTTTTAACTAGTGTTACCCAGGATCTTTAACCACACAGTCTTCAAGGTTCAAAATAAAGTCCTTTGCCTGTTTTTTAACAGGTCTGGCACAACAGGGCAAAACAAAGGCTGGGTTCACACATGGGCGTACTATAGGCACGTTTTTTCGGCTCGTTTTGTGCGCGGTTTTTAGCATGTTTTTTTCGTTCAGTGAATCGCGCGTTCAACGCTCGTTTTTATACCTCACTGGCTGTATGATTTTTTTTTTCCTTTTTATTTTCTATCTTTTTTTTTTCAGTTTTATTTTCTTTAACTTTTCAAACTACACGCCGGTTCCGCCCCCCTGCGACGCAGCCACTCGCAAGGGACATAAACACGGAAGACAGCAGCGGCCGGAGGACACAGCGGCGATCGCGGACAAGGTAAGTCCTACTCTGTATTCCCGAGTGTGGCTCGGGGTTACCGCTTTAACCCCGAGCCACACTAGGGAATACCAATGGATACGTGCGGAAAAGCCCCCCAAAAGAACGCCTGTACTTGTTTGGGTGTAGGGCGTTTTTCAGCGCGTTTCTACGCGCTGAAATACGCCCAGGTGGGAACCATGCCCATTGGAAATTATGGGATTTCCCTTGCTGAGCGTTTTTCAGCGCTTCGATCAGCAAGTATTGCATATAAAGATAGGAAGGGCTGAAAAATGAGAAAAAAACTTTTTTTTTTCCTGGAAAAAAAAAATGTGGAATATGTTCTTTTACAATGATAAATACTATATCTTTGATATGGCATTCAAACATGAAGACCTTAATGAAAGATTTCTGAGACTTTATGTAAAGTCTTTAATTATTGCACATTCTCTCAGCTGAAGACAAGCAAATCCTGGAATACAATTCAAGTAAAGGTGCCCATACACCTTACGATTATCGGACGAAACTTTTAGTCCGATGATCGAACCGTCGTACGATTTTCGTACGACAGCCCCATCCTGCCCCGATTATCGCAAGGTTCAATCAGCGGTAGTTGAAAAAAAAACACCTGGACGACATGCGGTAATTGACCGCAATTATTTTAGTTTGCGCATGCGCAGTGTTAATCGTACTTTTGACGGACGGACGGACAGAAACTCCACCAACCATGCGAACATCATATCTCCGAGCCGCAAGTCCCGACAAGAAAGTTAAAGTCCCGGCCTGCAGTACAGAGTGCAGAAGATATCAAGCCACCTCAGCGTGGCGGATTGATATCAAATAGGACTGGTAGTTCAGTGACAGTCTGCCTGGAAGCTGAGATAGGCAGGCAGGCAGGGGGATGTGTATAGTTTGCTGGATTAGCATTTGTAATAGTAATACAAAAACAAACTAATGTTACTACAACAGACTAGGCTTGCAATACATAATGTCACCTGTCAGTGCGAAAGCTGGGGGGAGGGGGTTTCTATTTGCAACAGAGCCCCTGCTAATGCCCCCCTACAGACCCCCACCCCCTCCTTCTGCAATGACCAGGGACGCTGATGGACCTTATGGAATCCAAGCCCATATAATGCCCATTAGTGTCCCCTGTCATATTGTCTCCTTTCAGTGAACAAGCTGGGGGGGGGGGGGCTTAGAAGGGCTGTGCTGCAAGTTTTCTACTTGCATCGGAGCCCCTGCTAATGCCCCCCTCCCCCCCACAGCTTCTGCACTGACAGGAGACAATATGACAGGGGACACTGATGGGCATTGTACAGCACCATCCGCCATGGTTTTTGAGGTCCCCTGCTCTTCTGGGGGACCTGGGACCATGGCAATATGGACAGAGCTCCATCACAGCACAGCAGCCCCCACTGGACCTGAGGATCCACCCCAGTTCTTGATAAGATAGGGTTACTGGGTGGATCTTAAAAAAAATAAAACACATTTTTTTTTTGGAGTGTGTATGTGTGTGAGAATGCCTGAGTGTGTGAGATTGTGTCTGTGGTTGTGTGTGTCTGTCAGTGTTTTTGAGGGTCCGTTCACACTGGTACAGAGTGTTAATTGCACAGTACAGTGCGATTACCATGTTGTACCATGCAAAATCGCACCTACCGCAAATTTGGTGAGGGAGTTGTGCTGCATTGCCATTCATTTGAATGGCACCCCAAACATACCTCCTGCCCACAGTTTGATCGCCCGCACCAGAATGCAGGTTACCGCAATGCCGTGCGTTCCAATGTGGTGCGACTTGGGTCATGACTTACTGACCAAGGACAAATGTCGGTCCTGAGGTTACACAGGTTGAGAACCACTGCTTTAAATGATTCCTAATAATGTTCTACACCATCACAGTATAATGTTTACCCATAGTCTGGTCAGTAAATTTTTTTTTTTTTTTCTCTGCTCAGTAAAATGGTGAGACCAACATCTAGAGTTTAGAAACATTTCCACAGTGCAACTTCTGCTGAGAGCAAAGCTGCTATTTGCAAATATTGTGAGAAGAAATATTCTTTTCCAAATGCTACAAGGATGACCAAACACATCCGTGCATGCCACAAATGACTTTCAAATGGTAAAAATACTCCACACTGAATTTTTTTTAAATTTTCCCCAAAAATGTATATTTTTTTTTGGAAAAAAAACATGGACATTTTTTTTTCTCATGGCTTCAAAATTTCCATAAATTTTACATCTGTAGTAGGATATAAACAATCCCCAGAGACAACGGGCATCAGATCTCATTATGTATAAATCTGCAGAGGTGAAAGGGGGCAGAAAGTGCATTTATTCTTTCTATGAAAGTGCACATATTATATAAAAACTCAAAAACAAAGATGTAATATATCTAAGTTTACCAGTTCTTAAATGTGGTGGCTGCATAAGTCTTTCATTTTTCAGGCTAAGTATATTTTATACAAATATAGAAACATACTATTGATCCTGGCAGAAATCCAGTGTCCTTACTGTGCTGATATCTTAAACAATGTTATTAGCCTTCTCAGCGATCTTTGAGGTTTTCAGAACACTTCCAACCCCTGTTATGAAAATGAGGAGGGGAGTGTTCTATAAGTTCTGTACTAAGGTGAAAATGCTGCTCCTCCATAGGTGAAATAATTACCCGTGGGTGGGAGATGTGATACTGGCAAAATTGTCATTAACATAAAGGAAGCAAAACCTAACAAAACAAAAAAAAAACTAATACAATCATCACACTACCACCACTAAGGACTGGTAATCTACAATATATTACATTTTGCTTCTTGGGTTTGGAACAAAACATTGAGACGTTTAACAGGCCTCTCTCCAAGATGACTGTGTTCTTGTTTTATTGATTGCTATATCTATTGTGTCATTGTAGTTGGTCTTGTATAATAGGGCGGGAACCAGAGGAGGCTTGAGCTGATCATGAGGCTTTGTAGGTGTTTTTAAGCTACTCGGCAGAATAAGCAATTTTTGTTCTGCATGGTACTTTAAAGGGAAATTCAACCTTTTAAATAATAATAATAAAAAATGCACACTTCTTCATAAAATAAAAAATGTGGTCTGACCATGATTCATGTTACATCCTAAATATGTGTGCAACATAAAACATGGTCATAAAGGTTACCTAAGCCTTATTGTAAAGGTCTGCTTTAAAACCTGAAACTGTCTAAATTGGTGTTACAAAAAAAAGTTACATTTTTATCACTTCCATTTAGAGATTTTCAGAACCTTTACTTAAAGGAGAATTATGGGGAGAGATAAATACACCCATCCCCATAATTAGAGCCGACGTGTGACACTGAAGCTGTCACACGTCAGCTCTATTGATCGGGAACTGAGCAATCGCATACCGATCACTCAGTTCGCAGTCATCTCCCTGCAGAGAGCGGTGACTGTCAGTCATCGCTCCCTGCAGGGATTTCCCCATTCCCTCACTCTTCATCCAGCACTGTCTGGAGGGATGGACGGGGGAGGCTGCGGGCAAAGCTGGCTCTGCCTATAGAGAGGCAGAGCCAGCTGTCAATCTGGTAGTTGTGTAGATCCCGACAATAGACGCTGCGCTGTCAGCATATAGCGGACAATAGCCCACTATGTGCTAAGTTTTGGGTCACAGGCAGACATTAGTATGTGTCCTCCTGTGACCTAAAGAGAGCTATGACAAGAAAAAGGTTGGGCCATAGTTCTCTTTTAAAGTGGACCTTGCAATACTTGGAGACGAGCATTAAATGTATTAATTTAAAAAAGAACCACTACACTGATATTTACAAGTAATGTGTATCTCGATTTTGCTCATAAGATGCCAGATCAACTTGCAGAACAAGAAAATGTGGGAAGGTTTAGAAATGGGTATCACACTACAGTGCGTAGCTGTGCGAATTACATTTGCAGTGCATCACTAGATGGGGCTGAGGAGCATAATAATTCCTATGCTCTTTGGCTCCATCTAGTAGCAGCATTGTGCTGTGAAAGTTGATTGCAAAGCTATATGCTGTTCAAACGCATTATAAATCAGTCCTACTTTGTGTAGGTTCTATTTTGCGGCGCATTCACCTATAGTTAAACTTTAGATCACTCTAAAAAACCCCTTCAAGAGCTCTAAAATACTTTAACAAATGGCTTTTATGTAGCCAAAAAGAGACTGTGTAAATGTCATCATGTTCTCAAAAACTTTTTATTGTTCTTTTTCATGGTTCCTACCGTTTTATCATCAATTACAACTATTTTTTAACTTTTTGTGTTTGCTCTTTATCTAAGCTGCAGTAATTAATTTATCTCATGCAACAGAATTGGCCCTTAAACTTTGGTGATTTGTTTAATTTTTTTGGGAATGAAGTAGTGAACTACGGTAGTACTTGGATTACTTGGAATGCGATTGTTTGTTTCTGTGCTCTGTACTAGAATTTCATTTACAAAAAGTTGAACTGGTTCTAGCAACTCTGTTACAAATAATAACTTTCCTCTACAGGATAATCCAATAATGCCTGAGGTTCGGGACCTTTCTGATGCTCTCACTGATCTGTCTATGGATCCTATCACTGGTGTTGGAGTAGTAGCATCAAGAAATCGAGCACCCACAAGCTACGATGTGGTATGTAAAGAATGTTGTGTCTTTTTTTTTTCTGCTTTTGCCATGTCCCTGGTTTTCCTTTGGAAAAATATGTCGGCAAACACACAAGTCAAGCGTGCTCTCCATACTTTTCATTTTAGAAACCACTTAGCAACTAGGAGATAAGGACCTTTTCAGATATGAAGATACTTTTGTTCAAAATAGCAGAAATATATGAAGATAAAATTAATGATTAACTGTTGTGATAAATCAGCTTCGAAATAAGCTTTCGAGGCAAAAGGGTGCTTTTATCAAGTACCATGTAAAATTATATTTCTTGATAAACAGACCTTGAAATCTCACCTATGATTTTCAATGTAGTCAGCCATTGAAGATGTTATCCTCCATTTACTTTTGCTTTTTTGATCAAAATTACAACTCTGGATCTATTTCATGGCAAGGGAGCACACTTCCCGTTGTCATGTTATAAGTTATTAATTTCTCAATCATTTTGATCTTAAGCCTTTGTGACAGTGCATGGCAATGCCACTGTGGAGTATGGCAACTTTGGCACCCAGTACTCTCAGCCAGATGGGCTGAGAGGTTCCACAATGTGAATACCTTTGCAGAGGAGGAACTGGCTTTTCAATTCCTTCCAGGTTTTACGGCCTATAGTGGGATGGAATCTCTAGTCCTGGGGCCAGGTGTTGCCAATGTCCAGTATAGCTGGATCAGGTGGCTGAGAGCAGCCTTATTAGGAGCCCAGTGCTCAGAGTTAGAGAGTTGTAGGTGTGCTGTAGGCACATGGCTACAGGGAGACGCTGCTGCGTGCGTGAGCACAGGTGACACAGCCAGGAAGGCTGGAGAGGTCCAGAGGGTCGGTGACCCTGAGATCCCTGTCGGGGAGACCGAGAGGGACAGTGACCCACGAGGGTGAATACCAAAAGTCTTGGAGCCGAGGGAAGTTGCTGAGGACGGTAAATCCAGGGAAAGTCCTGGGACTATAACACTGGGAGTGTATGGCTAGATGTCGGTGAGACCAAAACATGATGTGTTAATGAGAGTCCAATGAACTGTTATGCTTCGTTTATGCTGAAGAAAAGCAAGTTGTTTTGTGAAGTTCCTGGATGGTTAACCTTTTGAATGAATAAAGACTATCCTTTTTATGTTAAAGTCGGCTTCAGGAGTGGTCTCACCATTGTGCTATATTCCCCAAACTATTGCACCTTGTTCACATGGGCTGCAGGCTCCCCTGACATTGACAAAAGTGATCTCTATCACTGCATCAATTCATCGGCTGTTCTTCATTCAAGCGGCCATATTGCTGCCTCCTGAATGTCTGTCTTTTTTTTAAATCTTTTATCCCAATGGCGATTTTTCTATTGTAATCTATTTCTAATGCAATTAGAGCTGCAGCTAACGATTATTTTCAAAATCGATTAGTTAGCCGATTATTAAGTTCGATTAATCGGATAAAAATAAATGTAAAAAATGGCTCCAGTGATGGGACTACTGGTTTGTATGGAGATTGCAGTTCATCACAGGAGCAAGCTTGGAGCGGTGGAAGTAAAAAAAAAAGTGTGGTGTGCAATATAGTGAAATTAAAAGTGTAAAATTATACAGCAATGAATGGAGAATGGCACCAGCTATAGAGGACTACAAAACCCAGCAATAGTACATTATGCAGCACAATGCAGAATACCGCCAGCTATAATGTTGGCGGTATTCTGCATTGCACTGTATAATGTACTATTGCTGGGTTTTGTAGTCCTCTATAGCTAGTGGTATTCAGCATTGCACCACTGTATAATGTATTATTGCTGGGATTTGTAGACCTCTATACAGCGCAATGCAGAATACCACCAGCTATATAGGAATACAACAAATCCCAGCAATACATTATACATACAGTGTACAATGTATTGCTGGGATTTGTAGTCCTCTATAGCTGATGGTACATTGCTCTGTATAATATACAGTACAGCACAATGTACCATCAGCTACGGAGGAATACTAATCCCACTATCCTAGCAATACATTATAGAGCACCATGTGGGGGTAAAGTGCAGGCTTACCTGATCAGTCTTCCAGCAACTTGTTTCTGAGATCTGGCCTGTCTATCGGCGGCTGCCATCCGCCCCACACCTGCTCCTCCTTACTTCTTCTCCCCGCGTCCCTGTGCCGATCGTGGATGTGGGCGGGCGGTGAGCGTGCGGTGGGGAGGAGGTGCGGCGTGTGGAGCGTGGATGCGGCCGGGCGGATCTGGCAGTGGCGAGCGTGAGGTGGGGAGGAGGTGTGGAGCCGTGTACAGGGCCAACCAATCATAAGCCGATTAATCGATGATTGAAAAAGTTGACAACTTTTTCAATAATCGATTATGTCGATTAGTTGTTGCAGCCCTAAATGCAATGGTTACATTTGGCAAGCAGCACCCCTGCCAAACAGGCATGATGTTTGAAATGTGCATTGGTTGCGACGCAAAAGCATCACATCCACGGCAGGTGTACAAGCATGACTAGCGGTCGGGGGGGGCAGTAAAAACACAGATCTACTGCCTGATTTTTATCACCCTTCAGCCGCTCATGTCCTTGAAGTGCAACTATGGCCAAAATAAAATATGACTTGTATAATAAGCAGTCTGTAACAAGTATTAACTCTACAGTTTTGTTTTTCCAGAGTCCCCCTGTTCCATAGTTTTACTTGTTGATCCTGCCAGTAGAGCCTTTTTTTTTTTTTGCATGTAATCTTTACTGAAAATTTTGTGAACAAACATGTCATTCGTCAATCAAGACATTTTCATAGTATGCTTAATAACGGAATACAGCGTGGCAAATAATTATTTGATCCCCTGAAGATTTTGTAAGTTTGCCCACTTACAAAGAAACGAAAGGTCTATAATTGTTATCATAGGTGTATTTTAAATGATAGAGACAGAATATCAACCAAAAATCCAGAAAAAACACATGTTATAAATTGAGTTGCAGTTCAGTAAATAAAATAAGTATTTGATCCCCAAGCAAAACATGACTTAGTACTTGGTGAAGAAACCCTTGTTGGCAAGCAAAGAGGTAAGACGTTTCTTGTAGTTGGTTACCAGGTTTGCACACATCTCAGGAAGGATTTTGGTCCACGTTTCCACATTTCTCTAAATTCTTAAGGTTTCTTGGCTGTTGCTTGGCAACTCGAAGTTTCAGCTCACTCCATAAATGTTCTATAGGATTAAGGTCTAGAGAGACTGGCTAGGCGACACCATGTTAATGTGCTTCTTCTTGAGCCACTGCTTTGTTGCCTTGGCGGTATATTTTGGGTCATTGTCATGCTGAAAGACCCATCTTCAGTGTTCTGGCTGAGGGAAGAAGGGTATCATCCACAATTTTACAATACATGGCCCCGTGTATTGGCCTCTCAATGTGGCAAAGTCCTGTACCTTTTAGCAGAGAAACAGCCACAAAGCATAATGTTTCCACCTCCTTGCTTGACTATAGGAATGGTGTTCTTAGGGTCGTAGTCGGCATTTTTCTTCCTCCAAACACGGCGAGTAGCGTTAATGCCAAAGAGCTAAATTTTGGTCTCATCTGACCGTAGCACTTTGTCCCAATTTTTCTCTGAATCATTTAGATGTTCATTGGCAAGCTTCTGACCGGCCTGTACATGTGTCTTCTTGAGAAGGGGGACCTTGCGGGCGCTGCAGGATTTCAATCCATGGTGGTGTATTGTGTTACCAATAGTTTGTTTGGTGACTGTGGTCCCAACTGCCTTGATATCATTCACAAGTTCCTCCTATGTAGTTCTGGGCTTATCCCTCACTTTTCTCATGATCATCCTTACCACATGAGGCAAAATCTTTCATGGAGATCCAGACCGAGGGTGATTGATGATTATTTTGTATTCCTTCCATTTGCGAATAATCACTCCCAACAGTTGCTTCCTTCTCACCAAGCTTCTTGCTGATAGTCTTGTAGCACGTTCCAGCCTTGTGCAGGTCTACAGTCTGGTCCCTAACGTCCTTTGACAGCTCTTTGGTCTTACCCATGGTGGTGAGGTTTGAAAGGAAGAAAGATATTTAAATTGACAGGACTAAGTGGGAAAACTTACAAAATCTGCAGGGGATCAAATAATAATTTTCCTTACTGTAGATAATTACAGATAATAGCAAGTAAACCAATAAACATCACAATCGACATGGATAATAATCAGTAAATCCTGGAGTAGAACAAAAAAAAGGAAGAAGATAGATACAGGGACAAGGAGATCTGCAAAAAGGGTCAGTGTAAATTGTATCAATGTATTTGAACCCTAAAGGACATCTAAGGCACCCAGAGAGCCAGCCACTTTTGAAGTGAGATAACACTTCATATCCTGGAATAGTAACATCAGTTCTTTTAGTTGACTGGGAAATAGTCAGGAGGAATGGAGTCCAGGTGGCAAATAATTTTTCTGTATAAATGTGGTTAAATTTGGCATCTAATTTATCCAGCAACATCAGTTTGTGAAGGAGATCTTTCAGGGATGTAATGAAAGGGGGAGCGGGTAGCAACCAGTTCATCGGTATAGCCTTTTTGGCAGCGATTATACATAAATGTTTCCAACTAGAGGGATATCTAGAAGTGGACGGTGATGAAGGAGTTAATGCGTGGAATAGGCAACAGGCAGGGTTGAGAGATCTCTGGATTCCTGAGTTAGTGTTCATGTATGATTGGACACAAGACCAAAATAGCTGAATAGAGGAGCAGAGCCATATTATAGGATCCAAATCAGGGGAACGGATATGGCATTTAGGGCACGTGGTCAGCCAATTTGGGGGAGTGTTTTTTTGTACTGTAGATTGAATGTGGAAAAAGCTCTAAGTATTCGTTTGAACTGGATTTGTCTCCAAGTTTCGCAGATAATGGCTTTCCTGAGTGAAAGCCACTTGCAAAGTAGCAACTGATTAGCGTCTTCTGATGGAATCTGAAGAAAGTCTGCCCATCTGTTAACATGTGTGGAAAATGAGGAAGAAGAAACAGAATGTAGAGAGGATCGGATGGTATGAAAAATGGTGG